AACAGTAGGAAACAGGCCTTAATAAGGGAGATATGGATAAAAATTTTGATAGTTTAAGGGAGTGGGGAGGGAAGGGTATACAAAGAACCTAGGGGATAAAGGGAAAGAAGGAGCTCAAGAGAGGTAGGACCATAGGAGAAGAGTATTATTAAGGGAGAAAGGGGGAATATGGGGGTACCTTAATTGGGGAAAACATGATGGAGGTATTAGACAAAGCGAGAGATATATAATGCCTAGTTAGTTTCAAAAACCAGAGGGAATGATGTTAGTCCAACAACCTACTGACAAATGATACATACAAGATCAAGAAATATATGTCTAGGTAAGGTTCATCTGAGAACAATTGGTCTTTGTCCAAGATTTATCTACACGGCACACAGTAATTAAAAGTACCAGACTGCTGGAACTAACCTTTTTGGATGTTTAGCAGACATACTTTGAGGCCTATAATAATTTGGTCAGAGGGACATAAAGGACACTTTTTGCTCCTTGCCCTCCTAGGTTGACTAGTTCCAGAGGACTATGAGCATCTCCCAAAATGTCCTGTAATTGTGGTGAGTCACCTGTCCTCTTGATCAGGAGGCCGCGGAGACCCCATGAGATGGACATGAACCAATGTCCAGTCTACAAAGAGGAGGGTCAACACAGAGGATACATTTCCTCCATGCTTCCAAGCAAAGATAGCCATGGTCGAGCAGGACCTTTCACTTATGTTCACATAGGCGGAACTGGTAAAAGAAAGGAGCCAGGGGCTCCTCCCAAGCCCATATCACCCCTGAGCAACAGATCCTCAAACGATGTTAAGAGTAAAAATAAACTGGTTTATCTGGGCCAACTGTATGGCCTTAAATACCCAAAAGGAAAGTATAACCAAAGATTAAAGGGGCCAATATAATTTTTTAAACGTCCGTATGCATAGCTAAAGCCTACATAACAAGAAACAATGCCAGACTGGTGATACCTTCTTTTGAGTTGTTGGCCAGGGTGGCCCAAGGGACTCCCAGCTAGTAACCCAACACAGAACTGGGAAAATAAACAGCAGACCCCAATGCTGTCTAAAGGAATATTGACAACTGATTGCTAGATGAGGAACAGCTGACCTCTGTAAAACAAAGACCTCTAGATAGGCTAACTAGATTGACCAGATGGATAAGTAGTGGGGAACGGCTGGGGATGCTGACAACACAGCAGACAGTAGCAGGGATATCAGAGTATAAGGGCTCTAGTTGGGGGAGGGAGGCTATGGGAGGGTGCCATCTGGGAAGTGGGTGTATAGTTGAATAAGATGGTTTCGGACGTTCTGTGTGATATACACACACAGAAAAAAAAATCAACAAATTAATAAAAAATGTTTTATATTTGAGGAGGAAGCATAAAAGTTTACATCATGTTAATTAGTAGAGGTGATGAACATTGCCATTGAAATCTACCCGATGACTTTATAGACATACACAGGCGCCAAGGATCTGAGTGCAACTGATTTGACTAGTAATAATCAGATACATACAGATTAGAGACACATGTGCCAACATCTCAGTGTTAGTAGCAAAAAGAATGAGTCTTTCTGTAAGAAACAGTACATTTTACAATGAAATGGAGATTTGTTTTGAGGGTTAAAAACTCATTCAATTTTATGTCTTACAGGGCTTATACTGAGTTCAATATTGTATAACTGTATTGATTCAACAGAGAACCTAGAAATTTTATAGACACTTTTGAAGGAGCTGTTGTCTTTGCTCTGGAAACTGTCATTGGGCATGTTAAAGCTGTAATGATATGCTTCTTCTAAAAACAATATTTAAAAAAAACATAACAAACAGCATATCCTGAAATACAGTTCTTCTTTTCTTTCTTTCTTTCTTTCTTTCTTTCTTTCTTTCTTTTCATATATATATATATATATATATATATATATATATATAAATAAAATGAGAGCTGGAAAGATGGCTCAGAGGTTAAGAGCACTGGCTGCTCTTGCAGAGGACCTCACTGTGGTTCCCAGCACCTACATGGTGGCTCACAACCATCTCTAACTCCAGTTCTTCCAGGGGATCCAATGCCTTCTTTTGGCCTCTGCAGTCACTGTACACACATGGTGCACTTATATACACAACAGGCAAAACATTCCATGTATATAAAATTTAAAAAATAAAAAATTTTTTTTTAAAATATTAAATGAACCACAAACATCTACAGTGGCACAGCACAGCTAGTAAGGAAGCTCTTCTGACTCTTAGGAGCATTTGCTAAATGTCAGGGGCTATTGTCCAGTAGTCATCTGCTACAGCTTCTTGGGCAGCTTTTATTATTTGGGTAACTGGGGATTGAACTGAAGGCACTGTGCATACTGGGCTTGTGCTCTAGTACTGAGCTGCATTCCCAGACCTCTTTTTACTTTCTCTTTTGAGACAGGGTCTCACTAAGTTGTCCAGGTTGACCTAGAACACAACTCCTTAGCAGCTGGGACTACAAGCCTGTGGCACCAGGCCTAGCTCAGGCAGCTCTTGATAGGAAGCGTGTTTCATTCTGCGCAGCCATTCTTCAAGCCAGTCTCAATCCCTGCTAAAGAGTGGTTCGATTAACTTATTCCTTACCAAAGATGAGCTATAGTTAAATCATCTAAACATAACCAAGAGATCAGATAAAATAATCCTCATCCTTACAGTTTGGTTAAGGTATTAATTGTCCACTATTAAATATTAATTAAATACGGTAAAAATAAATCTAGTTATATTAGTCCTAGGGTCTAAATTCTTTTTTCCTTCTTCTGAATTTTCTAAAGAAATAGGCTCCCTTCAAAGACTCTTAGTTAAAAGATGTAAAACAGTAAAAATAATTGTATTTTTATAGCTATTATATGGAAAGGAGTCATAAGGCAGAGCAAAAAATGGTACAGGACACTGTTGCCAGCTATCAACTAATGTGCTAAGAAAATAGACCCTTCTGGGGGAGAGGGGGGAGGCCAGGCCTATGGAGGGTCCCTGATCTCTCAGCCAACTACTACACAATAGTGCCCACCATCCAATGTGGCACAGATGAACACACTTTTTTAAGGAGAGGCCCTTGAGGTCGTACCTCACACTCCAAGCACAACTTCCCTTCATAAGCTGTGGCCGACAACTCACCTCGTCTTTCTCATTCTTCAGCAGCTGATGCAGATTCCTGTTCCTGCACTGTAATTGTCTGTCTCTTTCCTGAAGCCCAATCATCTCCCTCCTGGAGGTTTCCAGTTGCTCCTAAAATAGTAGGTATGGCACTTGAGTAAAACTGATGGGATCAGAACAAATGAACTCTTGGAAGATCAGTAACAGAAGTTACACATGTCAAACTGTTAGCTCAAGTCAAGGTTCAGTGTGGTGTGAAGTATTTATTTAAAATAACAACTATAGGGAGTGGAGAGATGGCTCAGTGGCTAAGAGCACTGATTGCTCTTGCAGAGAACCCAGATTCAAATCTCAGCACCCACATGGCGGCTAACAACCGACAGAAAACTCCAGTTCCAGGGGATTCGATACCCTCTTCTGATCTCCGCAGGCAGTTGCACAACATGGGTGCACTTACATACATGCAGGCAAATATACTCATACACCTAAAAAATTAAAATAAATTTAAGTACTATAAAGTTCATTGAAATTTATAGATCCAATTTACTTCTACATATATACCAAACAACAGGAACTTCAAAATGGTTCCTTTGAAAGGCTCTTACTCTATGACGCTGTCAGTGAACGTTTTCAGAATTTCTCTTTAAGACTTTTCTATTTCTAATGGCATGCTTCAGAAGACCTGCTCAGCTACAGTGACACACCATCCTTGGGGCACGCTTGACTTTAGGGATGAGACAAATGTGACTAAGGCTGGATGTGAAGAGGCTGAGAGCACCACCCTCTGTAGCACCTCAGCTCAAGTGCAAAGACTCTGTGAAGAATTTTTAAAATACTCGAAATCATATGGAAGCACAAGACCTTCAATAGCCAGAGCAGACGGAATAAAGCTGAAAGTATTCCAAATGATACCACAGAGCCACAGTAACAAAAACAACACAGCACTGGCATAAAAAGAGGTATGAAAGTCAACAGAAGAGAGGACACAGAAAGAAACCCACACAGCTACAGTCACCGAAGTATCAAAAACATACACTGGAGAAAAGTTAGCCACTTCAACAAATGGTGGCAGGGAAACTGGATATTCATATGTAAAAGAATGAAAATATATCCTTATAGGCCATCCTATGCAAAAATCAATTTAAAATGGATCAAAAATCTTAACGTAAGAATGGAAACTACAAGAGGAAATAACAGAGAAAATATGTTAAGTTACAAGCAAGTTACAAAGACTTGATGAAAAGTATTCCATCTAATAGTAGAGGAAATAGGAACAGGCGAATGGGACTGAATGAAATTGAAAAGGTTCTTCCCAAAAGGAATCAGTCAGCAGAATGAAAAGACAGCCTTTGGAATGGGAGAAAGGGTTTACTAACTGTCTGATAAAGGATTAATATCTAGAATCTATAAAGAACTCAAATCATTCAATAAATGGACAAGCAGATTGAGGAGACAGTTCTCAAAAGAAGATGGGGGTATAAAGAAGATTAAGATTGTTTGAGCTGTTCTGGATCAAATACACAAAAAAGCCAGTAAAAAATAAACTAATAAATTAAAAAAAGAAGAAATATAAATGGCCAATAAATATACAAAAAGTATTCAACATCTTTAGGTATTAGGGGAAAGGAAAATTAAAGCTACAGTGAGATTTCTTATTGCCAAGTCAGAACAGCTATCATCAAAAACACAAACAGCAACAGATGCTGGCAAGGATGTGGGGAGAATGGAATCTTTATACACCACAGTGGGTAAACTGGTGTAAATACTATGTAAGTCAGTGTGGAGGTTCCTCAAGAAACTAAAACTAGACCTACCATACTATATCACTCCTAGCCATATTCCTGAAGGATTCTAAATCAACATACCATCTTATACCATACTTGCACTTCCAAGCTTCTTACAGCATTAGTCGTAGTAGCTAAGGTATAAAACCAGCCTAGACACCTATCAATAGATGACTGTACAAAGGAAATGTGGTACACAGACATGATGGAATTTTGTTCAGTCCTAGAGAAAAACATGCAATTTTATCATTTGTAGGAAACTGTATGAATCAAGGGATTGCTGTAGTAAGCTAAAGAAGGCAAATCGAAAGACAAACACCCCCCACTTTCTCTCACATACTGAATCTGGACTCGAACGTGTATGTGTGCAAATGGCTTGGGGGGGGGGGACAGAGTGGTGAACCAAAGAGGCTAAGGGCAGGTAAGAGACAAAATACAGCATGCTTTCTCTCATATGCAGATCTTGACTTTAACTAGACACACATAGGCCGTGAAAACAGAAGAGCAGTAAAGGGATTGGGCTGGGGAGGGAAAAGGTGGGGCCAGTGAACTTGAGTAAAGTATAATAATATGTATATGAAAAGATCACAATGAGAGCTAGCAAGATGGCTCTGTGGTTAAGAGCACTGGCTACTATCTTAGAGGACCCAGGTTTGAGTCCCATCACCCACATGGTGGATAACCATCTGTAACTCCAGTTCCAGAGGATCTGATGCCCTCTATGGGCATTGCATGACATGGGTGCACTTACACACATGCAGGCAATACACTCATACACACAAAATAAAAATATTTTTAAAAAAGAAAATATCATAATGAAACCTATTATTTGTATACCAACCAAAAAAATTAACTGAAAAACAATGCCCTTTCCCACCTCCAAGACTTCAAGTAAGTTCACGTTGCTTAGAATGCCTTTTCCAGATGCTAGTGAGCTTCTTTCCACGCATTCTTCAAATCTCAGATCAAGAGTTACCACTCAAGGCTGGAGAGATGGCTCAGCAGTTAAGAGCACTGGCTGGTCTTGCAGTGGACCCAGGTTCAGTTCCCAGCACCCACACGGCTGCTAACAATCCTTTCTAACTGTGGCTCCAGGGGATCTGACACCCTCTTCTGGCCTCTGTGGGCATGCATGCACAGGTGCACTGACACACAGGCAGGCAAACACTCACGCACATAGAATAAAAATAATAAATGTTTTCAGAAAGAGTCTTTGCCTTCCTTCACCTCCCACACTAAGAACAATTAATGAGGCACTGAAGTGATTATGGTTCCATGCATCTAATTCCACTAGCCTGAAAACTCCTTAGGACTAGGACTGGGGTTTCACTCCTCTTTGAAATCTAGGGCTTAGTGAATGAACTACATACTTCCTAGAAATTTCATTAATTTCTGTCCACAATTCTTGCCAAGGTAAAATCCATATTAGAAGACACCCTGGAAAAACACCCTATGTTCTGGTTAGTCCTAATACACTCCTTAAAGGACGGGCCTTAATATATCCAATTTACCAGCATCATTATATTATATAGCTGCTCATTAGTTACTTATAAGGCACGTGGCCAATGGTACCCAGACACAAAAATACTACCTTCTAGGTTTTTAACTCTGCATCAGTCTAATTCATAACAGAACCTTCCATGGTCATTTTCTAATCTGGATTAATCTGTCTACAATTCACATTCCTTTTATAACCCTAGAAGGCACCAACTACCTCTCTAGCCCTGCACAGTTCCCTAGCCAGCCAAGACACGAGGTTGGATAATCTTAATCTGTAAGCAGAGGATGTACCAAAAAGGCACCAACTACCTCTCTAGCCCTGCACAGTTCCCTAGCCAGCCAAGACACGAGGTTGGATAATCTTAATCTGTAAGCAGAGGATGTACCAAAAGCTAAAGACACTATTAAAGAGATATATATTGCTACCACTGCATGTGATCTAAGGAAACAGCATTAGACAGCACAAGGCAGTGACAGGCTGGAAGGAGCAGGCACCACTGAGGAGTCTTGGTGCTTCCCCAGACCATCCCCAAATGTCTTCAGAGATGACCAAGAGGACAACAGCATGCCTCGTCCACTTCACAGCACTCTTTACCAACTTTCAGTTATAAAGACTCTAATATTCTCTTACAGTGCTCAGAGGTCTAAGATTCTGGGCTTATTTTTTGTTATCTGTTCTTAGAAGGGGGTGGGGGTGGGAAGAAGATATACAGGAAGAAAGAAGGTCAAGGATCAACAGATTAAAAAAAAGAAAGTTAATTTTATCAGAGAACACACATACGTACACAAAGGCTTTGTTCTCGTAAATAAGTCCTAATATAGAAGGACAAAATTGGTTTGAATTCATTACATACCTAATAATATACAACTGTAAGTCCATTTCATATCATGATTTCAAATACCTTGTTCTTCTCTTCAACATATATATTTAAATATAATAAATATATATATTTATTTATTTATTTAAAGAAAAACATAAAAGTTTTTTAAAGGAAGAAAAAGAAAACCAGAAACTAGCAACAATGTTCTACATTTTAATATAGTAGGTCAATGGGCCTGTGAAAAGTATTTCCTTTCTTCATAGAAAGGTTTACTACAGACTCTAGGAAACTCTGGTCCTTTCTAGAGCCCCAGAGACTTCCTGCAGTTAGCCTCTACCTTCTTTTATCATGGGGCCTTAGCTCCTTTGGCATATATGCCTCAAAAATACACTTCTCAGAACCAAGGATGCAGCATCTTAAGGCAAGATTTGTTGGATGGAATGAGGAAATCCTTATTTTATTTTCCCAGAGCATAAATATTTCCCAATCTAACTTTGTACAGGTTCAGCATGTCACTAAACAATAAAAGCAAGGCCTTCAATACAGATAATAGGAAGAAGTACAATCAATCTATATAAATCACTCGAAATGGCTTTCACCTATCAATTAAAAAAATTTTAAATCTTTAAGATATAATTATTAATTACTAAATAGATAAGTAAAATATAATATAACCCTGAATTTTGTTTGATAAATGAATGAACGGTTCTGGAACTAAATCCTATAGTAACAGCATTAAAACACAGGTTGATACGTAAACTGTACCTTAAGTTTTGCATAGCAGTTCTGCAGGTGGTCCATATCACTTCCCAGTTTCAGATTCTGTGTTTCCACATTTTCCTGAGCTAGAAGGTTCTTCCGCTGAAGCACAAGCAGCTCGTTCATACAATTTAACACAGCAACTATGTTTAACTCTCTCTTCGTCTCTTTACTTTTGGATTCTTCATATAACGAAGGAAAACCGAAAGTCGTCAATTCCTGAGAGGAGAAATGTTTTCTTAGGTCAGTTCTCTTGGGAAGATGGTGGTTAAAGGCGACAACGTTTCAGCTAGGCCTGACCATGGTCCACAGCACAGCACAATGACTACTGGTAACAACGTACTGTATGAAAACTGCAGTGCAGACCGAAGTTCCCATGACAAAAAGCAACGTTAAGCATACATGCCTGGGAGCCATCCCACAGTGTGTACATATTTCCAAACAGTATGTTGTACATAATAAATATATAGACTTTTAACTTAAGTGAAAATTTTAAATATGTAAGCTGATTTTTAAACGTGGGTTACTGGACAAAAAAATTTTTAAGTGTGTTACCAGAGAGAGACAGAAAATGCTCAGGTCATTAGGGAAATATTAAGTAGCCAGAGAGCAAAAACCTTAAAAGAATTCTAAACGATTTAATGGTTTTCTAGACTCTGCTACACAATCTCCTGTGATGTGGCATCGGCTGCCTGGGTTTGCGTTTCAATGAAATGAGAGTTGGAGACTCCCAGTAGAAAAGTCTGGGACGGTGGAGAGGCCGAGCTGCTAATCTTGTGTTACTTGTATTACACTAGGTGATTACCAAGGGTCTCTGCACATCGAAGCCGGCCCCTGCAGAACACTCATGCTTGGCAAGAGCTTTCCGGAAGATTTGACAGCGTCTACTTTAGAATACTACTGACATGCTCACTCTTACAGAAATGTATTACCTGATCAAGATAGGAAATGCTCTGTTCGATATTCTCTTCTGTGCAGAAGGCACTGAAAAAACTGTGCACATTTTTTGATAAAGGTATGGAAGAACACAGCACCTGCTGTGAGCACAAACTCGACGGAGACATCTTTGTTGCTGAGGTATATTGAGAAATACTTTTGCTTTCTGAAAATAAAAAAGCATTCAGGTGATTTATAAAAACGAATATAACTAACAATCTCCATTACCAAAATTTTTGAATTACGTGTAAAGTATTTTCAAATTAGCGCAAAGTCATTTTTATGTAAAATCTACACTTTTGTCCAAAATGATACAATTAAATTTGTGTTCTTTCTTATAGGTATGTTAGGTACCACCACACCTTGACTTCCACTACTGGGGATTTACACAAATAGGAAACCCACACTTGTCTACATTCAGTTTATGTGATAGTAGGAATTAAATAGACTGAAGAAGTCAATTAACATATTTCAAATGCATAGAAATTTCCCTCAAAAATAAACAATTGATTACCCAGCCAAAGCACATTCTCAGAGCTTTTATAACTTCACTCTAAGTGAAAATGAGGTATTTTATAAGCACTGATGGCCAGGGCCCCCTCTCCCTCCCTCCCTCCTTCCCTCCCTCTCTTCTTCCACATCTTCTATATCTGTGGTAACTGTTTTAAATTGAAAAATTCAGCTTTGGTTTCACTTATTTTGTACTCAAGTTACCTGTAGACAGACCTGGATCGGTAACAGTCATCCAATCTCCCATAGCAATGTCCAGAGCCAGGATACCTGAGGAACTGGTTCAGCACTGAGACATGTGGACCGGCTATAGCCACTCTTCTATGTAGGCATCTCCTTAGACTGAAAAGGACAAAATCATCTAACTTAAACCATGAACGTCAATACAAAACCAGCACATAAAAATTAGTTTGCATGTTCTTTTACAACAGCACAGTTTAGAGTATCTAGATACACCCTAGAATCATCTGAGAAGGGAATCTCAGTGGGGAATTATCTACATAAGGTTGGCCTATGGCCATGCCTGTGGGGGCTGCCTTGACTTTCCACTGAAGTAGGGAGACCCACCCTAAATGTGGGAGGTACCTCTCCAAAGCTGGGCCCTGAACTGTGTCAGAGTGAAGCAAGCTAGATGAGCATAAGGAACAAGCAATCAGCACCTGGGTCCATATGTCTCTGCTCTTGACTGTGGACCTGTTATGACCGCTTGTCACTAGCTCCTGCCTCTGTGACTTATCAATGATGGAGTGTGACTTGGATTGGAAGCCAAAGAACTCCTGTGCTCACCTAAGGCGCTTTGGTCAGGACGCTTAATCACAACAGAAATGAAACTAGAACATACACATGTATGTATGCATGACTATACATATCACACAGTATGTATCAAGGTTAAAGATGTCCCAAGGTTCACAGTCCTGATCTGACTCACAATGTAAGTCTAAGGCCCAGCAATGTACTAAGAAATACTTGTACTTTACATCCTTTAAAACTAAATTACAACTCAGCTGTGTACACGAGAAGAGGAGAAACTTCTTGGCCAGCTTTCCCAGGGTTTTTTTCCCCTAAATATATTAGCAAAACTTTAAAATTACAACCCCCAGTTCGACATAGACGTAGGCAAACACTCCCTTACATGTCTCCCTTCAGGTGACATCAACTTTTACCACCAACAGAAATTGCAGTAGCATGTATCAAAAGTTTTAAAACAGAAATATATCTGCATCTAGAAACTTCACTTACACAATTTTATCCTAATAAAATAACTTGCACAAAGACTCATTTATCTACAGGCCATTTTTTATGATATGGGGGAGGGGGAGAAGGACCCCCAAAACAAATCAGAAACATGTGACTGTGACTTCAAACCAAACTAGAATTCAGGTGGCTAAGAAACACCGAACAGGCCAGAAATACAAATGAGAAACCTGGACTACATTAAAACACAACTTTTTCATGTTTCCACTTTTTAACAGATAACAGAAGAGACATATTTCTCCAAAGAAGAAAAACAATTCAAATGAAATTATAATTGGCAGTTGGCAAGTGCTTTCCAGGTCAGGGAGGGAAGGCAGAGGGGTGAAGGCAAACTGGTCAGCGTGTGCCAACACTTCAAACAGCTGCTTCTCGGCCACAGGAAGCTACTCAGAAGAGAAAGCAGGTCCTACGCTGACAGATCTTTGAATTTTAAGTGATATTGGAATTTGGATTTTTAAATGAAGCCTTCCAATTTTTAAAGAGAAGCTAATTAAAAGAAAGTTTATGCTACTTATCCTGTGGGAAGAGGGAGTGGTGGAAGGATATGACAATTTCCTAGTTTCTAGAAATGTTCTATATCTTGGGCTTAGAGGAGGTTGGGTGGGTATACACAGGAATCATCAAGATGTACAGTTAAAGTCTGCACTCTTGACTGTAAGTTGTGACTCAAGCAACATTATGCAATAAGCCAAATAAAATAAACAAAAAAAAGTGTGTCTTTGCATCTGATGTGGACCTGTGGATCATTGGATCAACAGTTCAAAATTCCTCTTCTGATTACTTAACATGGTGAGGAAAGTCACATGATTGTTAAAATGAACATGCTTATACATTCCATAAGCATGAAGTGAGCTCTTACTATGTAACAGGCATGTTTTTCTAGGAACAAAGGAAGCCCTGCCCTATACAAGTTCACAGTCTGGTGAAGGTAAAGCAGCAGTAAGCCACCACAATGATTAGAACCTGAAAGAAAATATCAGATCATGAAATACAGACGTGTTAGTGGGGCACATCTAGACTAGTTAGGGAATGTTACACTGAGATGAGGTTACAGTTTGCATGTAAAATGTCCCTTACAGGCTCATGTGTTAAAGGCTAGGTTCCCCCAGCTGGACCACTATTTTGGGAGGTTGTTGGAAACTTTATGGGGTGGAGCCTCACCTAAGAATCAGGTTACCCAGGGTGGGTACTCCTTGGGGCTGTATCCTGCCCTGGGTCCCTTGCTGTACAGTCTCTGCTTGCTTTTCTATCACATGTTCTCCCATGATGTTCAGTTTCACCTCAGGCCCACAAGGAACCAGAACCATGGACAGAACTCTGAACCCAGAAACCAAAATAAACCTCCCTCCTTTAAAATTGTTTAGCTGAGGTATCTGTCCACAGCAACACAGAAAGTAGCATTTGAACAGAGACCTAAATGCTGTGCAGTCAGCCACAGGTGATCAATGACCAGTATGGACCAAATAAAGGAAACTTGAGGCACAAAGAAATGAACTTGGTAAGTAAGAAAACCATGAAGGCGACAGGAGTGTTTGAGACTCAGCAAACAAGCTAGAGGGTAGGAAGTTGGATTTCTGACCTGCAATGAAAAGCTATTGAGATTTGAGGCAGAAGGCAGCATGAACTCCTTCATGCTTGAAGGTCACTGTGCTTATGCTGAGTGGGCTGGAGGTCAGCAACAGCGAAGGCTGGTCACAAGAAGGCTACCGCAATAGCACAGGTAAGGCAGTCAGTGTCAGACCGCAGGGAAACAGAAACATCTCAAAGAGGGATGTGTTCTGGAAAAAGAACCTTTAGGACTCACAGATGGACTGAAATGTGGGTGAAGAAAAAGCAAAGCTGATTTCTAGGATACAGAGCAGTACACAATACAATACACACGAACACAGGGATGTTCTGTCATTCCACATGTTGTATCGCACAGAAGGTCATGCAGCCCTGCACTGTCTCTGGCCAGTTTCCTACTGTGCTCTGATGGAGAAGGCATCCTGAGCTACTGTACACTTCCCCCTGTCCCTCAACAGAGTTTCAGCAGCAGGATTAGAAGGGTAAAAAGGCTGAGTTTGCATCGAGTAAGAAAAACACATTAATTTTACTTTTGGCCTTCGGAGATAAAGCTACAACCAAAATATGGTACAAGAGAAAATGGACCCATTTATTCTACGGCAGCTACGCTTTGGGGAAATTACTTCACCCCTGAACCCTAGTTTTCTTGCTGGTAACTTACTATAATAATGACACTCTGCAAGTTTCTCCTCAGGACTGAGATAATGCACCAACTATTTACACAGTGCTTGGTATAGGACACATGCATAATTAATATCCATTATCACTACAGCAGCCTTACTCATTGCTATGACCAAACACCTCAGAGAATGGGGGAGGGGCTGGGTTTTTTTTTTTTGAGTGCACAGGTTTATATGAGTCCACCACAGAGGGGAGGACATGGCCAAGTGAGACAGCTCACAGCATGGTGGCCAGGTAGCAAAGACTGTATCTGCACTAGAAGGCTTTCTCCCACTGTTTGGAACAAATGACAGGATTCTAAAACTTGCAAGAAACACACCACTGCTCTAATTGAAAGATGAACACACATCCTTAGAAGATCTAGAAACTGACATCCTTATAAAAACATACCAGGTAGTGATCCAACTCTTTGGAATCAATAGGTCTGGAGCAGAAGCAGAAGAAAATCAGCAACCTTCCAAGAACTTTGTGTTCTTTTGTTAAGGTACCTGCGTTGAAGAGCTGGCTCAGCGGTTAAGAACACTGCTCCTGCAGAGGACTCAGGTTCATTCCCAGCACACAAATGGTGGCTAACAACCATCCTTAACTCTAGTTCCAGGAGATCCGATGCCCTCTATTGGCCTCCATGGGCACTGCACACTGGTGCATTTTACATACATGTAGGTAAAACACTCCTATACATAAAATAAACAGAAAAAAATTTAAAAAGAGTATCTGTAGATAAGAGACAATAGTGCTGGGCTGGTGAGATGACTCTCTGGGTAAAGGGCACTTGCTGCCAAGCCTGAGGACCTGAGTTCGAGTCCCAGGATCTACATGGTGGAAGAAAAAGAACTCCCTCAGTTCTCCTCTGACTTCCACACACCTGCTATGGTACCCTCTACACACACAAATAATAAATGTAGTTTTTGTGTTTGTATATTTTTTATTGAATTTTGTGTATTTTATAGAACATCTTAATCATCTTTATACCCCCTTCACCCTTGGCAGCCTCCCATAGCTCTGTCGTTTTTTTTTTTTTTTAAAGAGACAATAGTGCCCTAAGTACCTTTTCTTCTCATACAGAAGACTAAACATCTCCTACTTTACTCTGAATTTAGCTCTTCAGTATCTATAAGTTTAGCCTGTGAATTATTCCGTCCTGTTAACACTCACACACACACACACACACACACACACACACAAACACACACACACACAGTCATTTCTACTTAAATGTTCACAATGAAAACAGAAACTTCTATGAAGCAATTCCTACACAGCAAATAGCTTACTAACAGAATAGGATTTTATATCTGTTTTCTCACAATCTGAAGGTTCCGTGAATGTGCTTCTGTCAAGCGATGAAACAAATTATATACCATGAGACCTGGGAGAAAAGTCAGTGTACCAGTTGTTCCCAAGAAAGAAGACTTGAGGCTAGAGATGGCCCCACAAAGCCATCTTACTGCTCTTGCAAAGGACCCAGGTTTGGTACTCAGCATCCACATGGCCGTTCACAACCATCAGTAACTCCAGTTTCTAGGAGACTTAGAGCTCAATAAATCAGCTGAAAACCAAGAGGTACTTCAAGCAAAATTCTGCATTGTAGCTCACTCATAGTTAAGTAAGTCTTATTCTGGGTCAAGTAATCTGGATGCACCAGCAGCTGGGAGAGCAGCCCAAAAGACAGATCAGACCCACATTGTACATTTTATGATCAAAACATCAAGAATAAAGACTTTAAATGCCTTGCAAAATCTACTTTATTCATCTAATATTGGGGGGGGACAAAACTACCATGTAAACCTTACGTAAATCAGCATTCTTAGGCTAGGATGTGGGTTGGTGGAAGAACAAGT